CGCTTTTATTTTATTTCATTTATTTTATTTCACGAATATACAACTATACATTTTTTGTACTTTTATTATTAGAGGAAGTGAAGAGGTAAGTCGCTAATATCGACATAGGTCCTCTAAAGCAACACCTTCTTATTTCTCGGAAACTAAATACCACACTTTAGTAATGCTGATGAGGACATATTTTACTTATTATATAATTAAGGACGTAAAAACTTATATACTTCATACATTTGATTTTTATTTCATATAAAAAAAAATCTGCTAAAAACGAATCATTCAAAAGCAATTATTAAAAATGAAATTTAAGTGCATAACCATATATGCATAAAGAAACGGATTGGTCTATTTCTTTATGCACATGCATATGGACCAATCAATTCTCTTATGCTTATGTTTATGCGCTATGCAAGTTTGTTTGGATTGACCTTTAAGTTTTTTCTTCGGAGAGCACATATATTTGGTAGTTTTCTTATCTTTTTTGGAAAAATATAATTCTATTTAGATTTTTATTACAGCAAATACCATATGAAAAAGATTGTATATAAATATATATAATCAATCTTTTGCTAATATATAATTTGGACACATGAAAAAGAGAAACTATGTACAAAAATGAAGAAAATAAATACTTCTAATAATAAGTACGTTAGTAAAATAGATAACTTTTCTGAAGATAAATTATATTTACAGATTATTTCGTGATTCGTCATATTCATTTATTTTATTATTAATAAATTAGTAATAAATTATTAATCATTAATAAATATTTTTATATATTATTAAATATTTAAATTTAATTATTTATTTTAAATAAAAATATCATTTTATTCAATAACTTTTAATACAAATAATAAATTTAAAAAATAAAAATTATTGTTGGTATTGTAAAGACATTATATAATTAATTTTAAAGAAATTGAAGCAAAATAATTTTTAATATTTACAATAAAATAAACTTCTTTAAATTGATTTTAGAGAAAGAGAAAGAGTATTACAATTTGTTTACCTCTTTTAAGTTAGCAGGACCAAATTTTCTTACATAAATGGAATACATATATTAATAAAATACGAAAATAACAATTTTACGTCAATAGCTAAAGAATTAAAAAACATTTAATATTATTTGTTTTTGTATCAATTTATTGTTTAGGTATTCCTTCAGAATCAGTTATTATATTATACAAATGTAGAATATAACATTTTGTTTTATTTGTAATTCTATAAATATATATATTTTATATATATATATATATATATATATATATATATAGAGAGAGAGAGAGAGAGAGAGAGAAATAATATGTACGCGTAATACAATATATGATGTGTAATAATACATAATTGAATTATACAAATAATGTTTAGACGTAACGAATGTAAGACTTTCAACGAACAGAACAAGCGTTTTTAATATGAAGAATCTAATCCAATTATTTATATGTCATTTAAACAGGATTATTATTTCTTTTAATCCAAGAATATCTTTTTAATCTAGTTTACTCTTCTTATTCGGCTGCTACAAAAAAAAAGTACATTATTTGTTTATGATATATATTTAGATAATTAAAAAAAGAGAGAAATCTATATAGCCTTAACCCTGTCCTGATCATCATGAATATTTCGTGTCTGACTACTTTTTTTTCTACTTATTAAAATGATTCAAAAAATCTCAAAAAATTTACGAATATACTTTCAAGTTTCTAGAAACAAATATTAGTATTTTATTTTGGAAAAAAATAAAATATAGTATAATTAAATTATTGAAGATTAATTACAATTGATATAACCTTCTATGACTAAAAAATAGATATTTAGAAAGTGTTAAAAAGAAACTATATTTTATATTTTGATTATTTTATAAATAAATAAATTCTGTATTTTTATGCTTCTGACGTCATGATGTAAGAATGTAGTGATCAACAGACAAAAGTTATTCATTATTACTATTAAGTCACAGCTTTAAACATAAATAATGATTTATGTAAAATCATTGTAAATATACATGCCATCTTAAATAAAAAAATATTATAATTTTTATAAATTATTTGTATTTAATTGTATTTAATTGTCATGATCTCAGAATGTACTGATCAATAGACAAAAGTTATTCATCATTACTATTAAGTCACAGCTTTGAACATAAATCATTGTAAATATTCATGCCATCTTATATAAAAAAATATTATAATTTTTATAAATTATTTGTATTTAATTGTATATCCATATTATTAAATGTAAATATTATTTTTATATAAACCAAAAAGAATGTAAGATGTATAATGAAAACACTTACGTAATTTTATTATATGATGTTCCACTTGATTAATATCATTGTTCCATGTTAAAATTTAAACCCGTTTTCCATTACCATTACTTTAAAAAATTTTTTAAATTTTATATTGTTGCTTATCTCCTACATAATGAGGAACTTCTATACCGTTAATGTACCTACTTCTCATTATAAAAGTAATAAAGTAATTAAGAATATTTAAGTTACAGTTATAGTTATAGTAAGTGTTATAGAAAATATTTTCTTTATAGACTAATTATAATTTTATAAATATGTTTTGAGATAAGTTTGATAATTGTACAAAAATTGAGAAACGTTTCATTTAAAATTATACCTATAAAAAAAGAGAAAAAATATAATTTAATATTTTTTTTCATAAAACTTTAATTTACTTTATTAATGTAAACTAATTTTATATTTTACATTAAAAGTACATGTTTTTTAAAATTAGGATATATACTTAGAAATAATTTTTCTTAACAAAAATATAAAAAAATCGAAATATTATAAAAGTAAATATTGTTTCTGATATAAAGCTTCAAACAAAGAAACAAAAAATCTGCAGAAAGAGAAATTAAAGTGGAGTAATCTTCAATATTTACAATAATAATATTTTATGTCATTCTTTATTATTTAAATATATATATATATATATATGTAATACAATATTTAATGTGTGATATATAATTGAATAATATAAATAATGTTTAGACATAATAAATGTAAGACTTTCAACAAACGAAAGAAACGTTTTTAATATAAAAAATCCAATCCAATTATTTATGTCATTTAAACAAAAACATCATTTCTTCTAATCCAAGAATATCATTTTAATCCAGTTTACTCTTCTTACTTGAGTGCTACAAAAAAAAAGTACATTATTTGTTTATGATATATATTAGATAATTAAAAAAAGAAGAGTCTATAGCCTTAACCCTGTCCTGACCATTATGAATATTTTGTGTCTGATCACTTTTTCTTCTACTTATTAAAATGATTCAAAAAATCTCGAAAAATTTACGAATATACTTTCAAGTTTCTAGAATCAAATATTAGTATTTTATTTTGGAAAAAAATAAAATATAGTATAATTAAATTATTGAAAATTAATTACAATTGATGTAACCTTCTATGACTAAAAAATAGATATTTAGAAAGTGTTAAAAAGAAACTATATTTTATATTTTGATTATTTTATAAATAAATAAATATATTTATATATACATATTTATTTATTTGTAAATATTTAATATTAATATATCCAAAATAAGATCAATATTATTAAGTATAAAAACCACCGATAGACTGTTTTGTCACTATTTATCTGTCTGTTATACACTTTATCAGTCTAAACTTATTATAAGTATAAATGCATTATTATAGCGTAAATGTCTCATTATGTTATAAATTGATACTACAAAACTTACTGACATGTGTTGACGTGTTGTAAGACATCGAAGATGTGAACATACGCTGGTTCTACATTTCATGAACATAATATTTTCCCAAACTTGAAATAATTGTATTTGAACGAATTTGTAGTACGTAAGGTACATTGCCATTATTAAATAGAGTTGATTTAGATGGACGAGCTTGTACTCCGTCTAAATGAATAATCTGTTACAAAACAATTTAATTAATTATTTATTAATTCAATAATTATTTGACATATAACACATGTATATATGTATGTACAGACGGTGTCATTAATACCTGGTCCCCAAAATTAGATGCGTTTTGGAAACTCACTCTTCGTCTCTTTCTAACTGTTTCCCTTAGAAAGAGACGAAGAACATTAATGACGCTGTCTGTACATATGTATGTATGTATGTATTCATGTATGTATGTGTGTATGTGTGTGTGTGTGTATTAATTATCAAAAAAAAAATTATTTTTTAAATTGACCAAGAATTAACTAATCAAATAATATCAGCAAAAAAATATACTTTTAATATAATTCAAGTCTTATTTTTGTCATTTTTATTTTATAACTTCTAAAAAATCACCCTTTTGTTGCTTGTGATAATTTTTTGAAAATTTCTCATATATATATATATATATATATATATATATATATATATCCATATTATTAAATATAAATATCATTTTTATTATGAACCAAAAAGCTAATAGTGAAGCGCATAGTGAGAACACTTACGTAATTTAACTTTATATGAGGTAACACTTTATCTACTTCATCATTCCAAGTCATTATTTGGATACGTTTCCCATTACCGTTATTTAAGAAAAATTTAAAAATTTTATACTGCTGCTTAGTTCCTATAATCCGAGGAGCTTCTATACTATCAACGAAACCTATTATTTCACTATGAAAAAAATAAAATAATTAAGAATATTTAAGTTATAATTATAATTATAGAGTATTTTTTTTATAATCTAATTACAGTATATTTTATAAATATGTTTTGAGATAAGCCTGATAATAATTGTACAAAAATTGAGAAATGCTTCATTCAGAATTATATTGAGAAAAGAGACAAAATGTAATTTAATTTTTCTTCCTTTAAAATTTTAATTTATTTTATTAATGTAAATCAGTCTCCTATATTTTACATTAAAAGTACATGTTATTTTTAATTAAAATATACTTAAAATTTTAAAACCTGCTTCATTAACCAACGTTAATGAAGCAGGCCCTAAATATACGTATGTAGAAATTTGATAATTTTGTATGAGAACCTTCTTTAGCCGTATACTCTATAATATAATATTTTACAATAATATATACCAATAATAAATATACCAGAAATATGTTTGTTTTTATTTGACATTACTTTAAAAGATCATACGTTTATAGTATACACCTTATATAAATGAAGATACAAAATATCAGAATTTCTTTTAACATTAAAAAATGTTTAAAATTATGCTTACACATTTGAATCAAATAACTGAATATTATCCAATTCGTCATTAGATGTTAATAAGACATCCATTTCATTTAAGTTGTCAAACTCAGGTAATTTATCCGCTACACTGTAATATTTATTTTTATAAAATATATCGATTACTTTTATATGATTAATTAAGAAGATTTAAAATTTACACAGTTAATGTAATGAAATATATTATTGGAACAATTACAAAACGTATATATTTTAAGATTTTGAGATTTATAATAATAATTAATTAAAAGTAGAAAAAATTAAATAAAAATTAAAAAATACTTTATAATAAAATTATATAGGGGAGACCGGGGCTAAGCCGACACTATTTTTTCAAAGGCAATTTTTAATATTTTATTAAAATTTTTAGGCAAATTCAATGATATGTATTTAAAGAGTGTTTCTTCAGGTACAAAATTGATTCAGGAAGTTTTGCTGTACGTCGCTTTGTTTTGCCGCCAGGAAAGGAAAAGTGACGCGAAGACAAATTTTCGAATTAAAAAATAACGAGGCGAACTCGACACCCCACCGGGGCAAACTCAACACTTTGTTTGATCAACACAATTTGATCTGGAACTTATTTTTTTATTGTTTAAAAATAAAAA